CTGAATCCCTCCAGTGGAATTATAAACCCCTTGGATGGATAACTGAATCCCTCCAGTGGAATTATAAACCCCTAGGAAGGATATCTGAATCCCTCCAGTGGATTTAAAAACTCCTAGGAAGGATATCTGAATCCCTCCAGTGGAATTATAAACCCCTTGGAAGGATAACTGAATCCCTCCAGTGGAATTATAAACCCCTTGGAAGGATAACTGAATCCTTCTAGTGGAATTATAAACCCCCAGGAAGGATATCTTAATCCCTCCAGTGGAATTTTAAACCCCTAGGAAAGATATCTGAATCCCTCCAGTGGAATTATAAACCCCTTGGAAGGATATCTGAATCCCTCCAGTGGAATTTTAAACCCCTAGGAAGGCTATCTGAATCCCTCCAGTGGAATGTAAATCACCCTGCGTAAGTTTTAAATTGTAAAAAGCATTTTTTGAAACCCCTCCAGTGAAAAAAAAATCCCTCCGGTGGTCTCCAGTAGAATCGCAATCTTACTACGAACTTCTTTGAGTCGGAAATCAAGTCTTTATTTGATGTAGTTTGTAAATGCCAGAAATGAGTGGAAAATGCAAATCAAACCCAACTAACACCAATAATTTGATATACATCATGATATTTTTCATTAAAAAAATTCCCCCACCCCCATACAGAATCCTTATTCACGCCCCTGTGCATGTACACAGGTGTGCTGTGTGAAGTCTTCCCGCAACCCCCTGGAAGGGAGGGAAACATGAGAATCATTAATAAAGGATATAAAGAGGACAGAGAAATGATTGTCTTCATTGACTTCAGAGAAAGGAATAACAACAATTATTACGAACACGGGTAGGGGCGTATCCAGCTCTTTTAAAGGGGGGGGGGGGTCCAGCTTTTTGAAAAGAGGGGATCAAACTCCTAAAAAAACTGGGATGTTGGGGAGTACCGAGCGAAAGTTGTGAGTGAGAAGGTGGTTGCGGGGATTTTTTTAAAGGAATTAACATTGAGAGTAAGTATTTTAAATGCTCAAAATAGCAATCTTTTAAAATATGTAAAATATTGCCACATTAGAACTGTACTTTGAAATTTTTCAATTTTCACTCAGGCATCTTAGGCAAGAAAAATGTTGACATATAAAAGGATGGCAAATAAAGTACGTAAGTCGAGGATCTAGTTCTAGAAAAAAAACTTTTATATAAAATACTATCATTTTCTCCCTCATATTTTATTCAAAGATAAAAAATGTAAAAAAATCATGAATATAAGTGAAAATCAAATTTTAAAAGCATTTTGATATAAGCAACAATAAAATTTGCATGAAAACCGGAGTTAAAAAATATTGAAAATTGGGCGAGCATTTGATAAAAAGCGTTTTTTCTCTATCTAAATTTTTGTTGTACTCAAAAGATGTGTTTTTTGCTTTAAATCGGTCAATTTTCGATTTTTTTATATTCTGTAAACTTGCAGTTTCAAAAATTTTAAGTTTAAAATTTTAATTTTAATATCTATAAAAATTACATTTTTAAAACATGCCAATTCAGTATGTACACTCCAGTTCATTTTATGTACAGGGCCAAATTCCAACCAGCCAGAGCAAGCTGTACCATGTACAAATACAGGCTATATAAGGCAAAACATAGTACGTCAAATGAATGATCGCCTTCTAGTGAAATGTCTGTGAATTAGAACTCCAAGTAGAATACTTTTTTTCATCTGAAAATGTCACAAAATTTCACACCCCGGCCCTACTATTGTTTTGTTGAAGCTTAAAATCTATCGAATTAGTGAATTCAGTAAAACTTTTAAATTTTATCAATGAATTGTGAAATGTTTTGTTAAAGCACCTTAAAGTATCTGCTCGAAAACAGTTTCAATAAATCAGTAAACTTTTAAGTTAGTCCCTAGAATAGGGGGGGGGGGGGGTCAAAAGATACTCTTGACCCCTCCTTTTTTCAAAAGGTGGAGTCTTCGACCCCTTGCCCCCCCCCCTGTATCCGCGCCTATGACAGGACTTTGATATTTATTTCATTCATGATTAAGCATTAATTAAACTCCTATTTCTCCTACTTTCTATCTGTAAACTCCTTTTTCTCCTACTTTCTATCTGTAGACTTCAGTTCTCCTACTTTCTATCTGTAAACTCCTATTTCTCCTACTTTCTATCTGTAGACTTCAGTTCTCCTACTTTCTATCTGTAAACTCCTTTTTCTCCTACTTTCTATCTGTAGACTCCAGTTCTCCTACTTTCTATCTGTAAACTCCTATTTCTCCTACTTTCTATCTGTAGACTCCAGTTCTCCTACTTTCTATCTGTAAACTCCTATTTCTCC